TTTTTTTGGACACAGGGTTTCACTATGTAGTTCAGGATGGCCTTAAACTTGTAGTGATCCTCCTGATTCAGCCTCCTGAGATTACAGGCATGTGCCCCCATTTCCAGCCTGAACATGGCCTTTTAAAAGGAATTTCCTCTGGCCTGGCTTCCTGTTCCCTCATCTACCTGGAAACCTCCTATGCATCCCTCAATGCCCTGTCTAGGCACCACTCTTCTTTGAGGCCCTTCCTAAGCCCCTTCAGGTGCCTCTGGCATTGCACTCCTCTCACACATTTGCTCCAAGGCTGGTGTCAGAGCTGTCAGCCAGTGAAAGTTGCATGTTCCCTGCAGCAGCACCAGGGACCCACCTGAGGCGGCTTCACGAAGTCGGCTACATCCCACAGCCGGTTCCCCAGCTCCTTGATCTGAGTCACGGAAACCCCTTTGAGTTTGGTGATGACAGAAATCTGGGGGTCCAGGTCCCATTCCTGGTAGCCTTTTTTGGCAAGGAGGGCCCACCTGGAGAGGGACGGCGGACAGTGTGTCGAGACTGTGGCCCAAAGTGAGTGGTGGAAGAACAGTCTGGCCTCTACAAGATCAGCTCCCTCACATGCCCTACGCTCACAGCCTGGCAGAGGCCAGAGCAAGCCGGAGGCCAGCTGGGCGTCAAGGAGCCAATATCTGCAGGCAGAAATGCCCACAATATCCACCTTCACCAACCAACACCCCGTCCTACCAGACTCAGCTCACTCCTTAAAGACTCCCCAGATCCCCAGCTAGAACTCTCTGGGGGGCCTCGGCGATCTAACTCTCAAGAATGTTCAGAAACTACTACTTCCTGCCCCACTAGGGTACCTCCTTGGGCAGGAGTGGGGCTGATCCTGCTCTGTGCCCAGAGCCCAACACAGGGCTGGGGACAAGGCCTTGGAAAGGATGCAGGTAGGCATACAGGAACACAAACACACGGCTTGTTTTTGCATATCACTGGCCTCTGAATGGACAAAGATCCTCTGTCTACCCCCACTCTGTCCTGGCTGCCCACCACCACCACCACCAGCCTGCTCTGTGAAAAGTTAAGCTCTCAGTGCTCAGCCCAGTAGGACCAGTCATGGTCACTCTGACCAGACTTGCCAAGAGCTGTTCTCTTACCCCACCACATAGGTCAGCACTCCGAGCTGCAACAGCCTTTGCAAGGCCCCGACTCTCCAGTTCCTGGTCATCACATACTTCTCTGTCTTGTAATCCAGAAGCCCCCAGTGAGCCACAGCTCCCAAGGAGCCCATGCTCCTGCTCCTCTGCTGGCTGCTGCTGCATGAGTCAGCACGGCAGCTGCAACCACAGCCGAAACAGGAGGCAAAGCAGTGAGCCTGGCCAGCCCTTGTTAAAGGGACACTTCCACTCAGAGCAGGACCCAGCCTCCACACCCTAGCCCTGGGCTCGGTCCCACGCTTCAGCTGCCTCGGGGCTTCCACCCTCTCCAAAATCTCTGCTGGACCCTGGACACAGAGGAGCAGCCCCGCCCCCACCCTCTGGCTTCACTTCCCTGTAGGGGCAATGACGAGTGTTTCAAGTCCTGTGAGGGGCCTGTGCGGCGGGGCTGGGAGAGGACCCCAGAGAGGGTGTACGGCTCCAGAGAGCAAGGTGACCTGACTCTGCAGGTTCCCCAGACCTTTCTAGGGCAGTGCCGCACCCTCAGAGTGTTTCCCAGTCCTCGAACATGGAGCGTCGCTGGAAACTCACAAGGGAGCAGGAAAAACGAACGCCTGCTAGGCGTCAGCCCTGTGCACTGCCAGGGGCGAGCACTCTCTTCCGTGTGGGAGAGCAGTTGGCTCAAGGTCAACCCAGTCCAGGTTCCGTTCCTGCGGCAACCATCAACACGGGGTTGCCCCGGGGACCGTAATGTGACGCGCGCGGCTATTGGCTGCGGCGAGCGCCTGTTGTCCGTATAACATATTTTATTGGTCATCCAGGAAGGAGAGTCCGCCCACGTCTCCGGGCAGCGTCCGAGACGTGGCGACGCGCCGTCTCGGGTTTAGTGTAGGTGACTGCGAAATGGGTGTAACTATGGAGGATCCTTGCGAGAACTCTGCAGAAAATGAACAGGAGGAAGAGGCGAAGGCGGCCTCTGAGCATTTTGCAGAGGTCGCGGAGGCCGAGAAGGGCTCGGACGCAGATTCAGACTCTGACCTGGAGACAGAAGGTGCCCCCAGTGGGGGGCCAGGCTCGACTCCTCATCTTGAGGGTTGGAGGGGCTGGGGGGAAGGGGCATAGGCGCCATGGAAGCACGCTCTTTCGTGGGGCACCTTTAGAGCAGCCAATGGCCCCTCAGCTGCGGTACCCTCCCTTCCTTTTGGCACCGGGAGTTCCGCAATTAAGAACACGCTTCAGAATGCCTTTTAAATACAAACCCTGATTAACTGTGTGGGAAGAAGTGTCCCACCCTGGGATGGGTTCAGTGCTGGGTTTTCCTAACTTGTAGGGAAATCTATGCTATAGAATTTGGAGTTGTTTTCAGGTTTTCCTCTCATAAAGTGTTCATAAAACGATGATCATGGACCAGGTGTGGTAGCTCAAGCTTATAATCCCAGCAATCAGGAATCTGAGGCAGGAGGATCGCTGTAAGTTCAAAGCCAGCCTGAACTACATACTGAGACCCTGCCTCAAAAGAACAACAACCAAAAATTGTGATCTGTAATGGAGGGGCAAGGGACACAGCACGCACTTCAGCATCAGACAGACAGTGTCCCAACTCTGGCTCTGACTAGCTGGGGGACTAGGGAAGGGATTTACCTTCTCTGAGCCTTGATATCCTCATCTGAAATAATGTGGAAATAGTCCCAGTAGCACAGGAAGAAATGCCTCTAGAGGAAAAGGAAGCTAGAGAGTGACAAAGAGCAGGGGAAGAAGCAGACAGCATGCCAGTGAAGGGCTCTGCATTTGTCTCTTTGTCTCCTCCCAGGCACTGATGGGCTTAGAGAAGGGGTCAAGGATACCCTCTACCAGAGGTTTTGCCAGGCCCTTAATGTTGTGCCTGTCTCCTGCTTTCTGTGCCAACAGAATGCTTCAGAGTTGAACCTGCAGCATCGTGGCCTGGGGCCCCAGGTACCTGTAGGGGGACCCTGGAGCCAGTCTTGGAGAGAAAGGACCCAGGAGATAGTGACCATGGAAATGTCTCTCCTTGAGCCCATCCCACTCACAGTTAGCTATATTCTGTGCCAGCAGCTGCTTCTCCACATCTGGGAGGTAGGATAGAGGCTGTGACAAAGAACAGCATAAGGGCTACGGAGGCTGCAGTCTGCTAGTGTGCTGGAAGGCCACAGAAAGAACCAGGGGATAAAGTGTGTAGGCGATGTAGGTGTCCCCTTGGGAATGTGGGGTAAGGAAGGCTTTCCGGTTGGAGGGTATGTGAATGGGCCAAGCCCTGGGAGCACACCAGTCTCCTCAGCCTTGGGAAAGATCAAGACCCTCAGGCCTCTCTGCTCTGTCCCAGGGGGCCCAGGCTCTGGCTGTCATGTTGACCTCCAATCCCTACATCAAGCGACTGGATCTTCGGGATAATGGGCTCCTTAGGGCTGGTGCAGAGGCCCTGGCAGATGTCTTGAGCAAAAACAGCAGCATCTCTGGTAGGTGCTGAGCCTGGGGTAAGTGGGAAGGCTGGAGTCTTCCTTATCTCCTGGATGTGCTATCCCCAAGCCAGGCTTTTTCATCTGGGGCCTACTGGTATTGCTGGGAGATGGGGGAGGCCTTCTCCATGGGCTGGGGCACATGGGGGTGGAGTTAGAGCCACTGGGCATCCAACCAATGCTGTATCCTGCTCTTTTCCCAACCTGACACACCTGTTCACTTCTCTCCTCTGCTGGGCAGCACACACACACACAGGTACACGTAAAATTAAGTGCCTCGATTCAGGGTGGGAGAGTCTTTCTTCGAAAAGAGACAGGCTGGACGGTGGGATGGGAAGAGAGTTTCATGAGTCTGGACCCAATGCCAGCTTTGCCACTGTCGAGTGGGACTAACCTGGGCAAGCAACCCACCCTTGCTGAGATTGTTTTTAATCCCTGAAATGGTCCCAGCAATACCACTTATCCCTTGGGGTTGCGGTGAGCATTAAATGAAGTTGCACATATGAAGTGGTCAGCAGAGTATTTGGCCTATGTAAGTGTTCCCGGCATAGCCTCCTGGGCTAGCATTGCCAGTCGCTGGCACTGGTGCAGAGAAGGCTCCTGTGGGTGGATCGTATCACTGCCAGACACCAGGCACCAATGGGGTGGCTGCCTCTCCAGCACAGCACCACAAGGTAGGTGGTTTTATCCTTGTCAGAGAAGTTCATGGAGGTACAGGAAGCTTGAATCCAGGGGCCCAAGGGGACCCAGCCAAAGGGTAGCAGAGCTGCCACCATGTAATCCCAAGACAGTCCAACTGCAAAGCCTCTTCCTGTGACTCCAGACTGGAAGTTTAGGGGATGGAGAGAGGTGGTGGAGGGAGGTGCCTGCGTTTAGATCCCACTGACCAAGGAGTGGTGTTGGCCCCCAGATGTGGACCTGTCGGAGAACCAGCTGGGAGCAGCAGGGGCCCAGGCCCTCTGTGCCGCCCTCACAGTGAACCAAGCAGTGCAGAAGATGCAGCTGGCAGGGAACAGCCTGGAGGAGCAGGCAGCTAAGTACCTTGCTGATCTCCTGCAGGTCCATACAGGCCTGAAATCCCTGGACCTCAGCTATAACCAGCTAAATGACCAAGCAGGTAACACTTGGGCTGGACTGCCATGGAACATGAGAGGTCATCTTGTGGAGGCGGGGGAGGGGGAGCAGACGGGCTACACTGAACATCTGCCAGGGAACACCTGTGCGCTGGATTCCGCTCCTCCACCCACTTAGGCTCACACACTTCCCCACTGAGCCACACCAAACTCTTGATTCACTCAAGTATCTCATGGCCCCCTGGCATACCTGGTTGGCACCAATTTAGCCACTACAAATCTAGCTGCTAATAAAATAGAGTCCCTGCCTTCAAGAAGCACATGTTAACAAGATAATTCCCAATAATTACTGGTGTAAAAAAACAACAGAGTATGGTTCTAGAAAAGAACGGGGACCCTTTGCTTTAGAGAGGGAGCCGGGGAGGAAGTGACATTTAAGCTGAAACGTGCAAGCTAGGAAGGAGTCAGCTGTGGCACAGCCAGGCGGAGGGGATTTCAAGGACAGGAACAGTGAGTTGCAGGAGTGTTTCCCAAACTGACAATAACCAGTGTCACTAGATAATGACCCAGAGGCTAGTGATCAGGCTATAGCGTGGGGAGCCAAAAGGGGGCCACTGAGATGAAGATCATGGTAAAAGTGTGGTGATGATTTTATTCCAAGACCTGTGAAAGATGTGGGTGGGATTCCTTGATCTCATCACTATCTTTCATGCCCTGGGACCTTGACATAGGCTTTCTGCTTTGTCAGGAATATAAACTTGCACTTGTGCGTGTCCCTAAATTCTCCAGTCAATAATAACAGTCACCTGGAAGATGAGTATGGTGGTGTGCACCTGTAGTCCTAGCTATTTGGGAGACTGTGGCAGGAGAATTACTTGAGCTGAGTGTTCAAAGTTAGCCCTGGCTGGGGATTTAGCTCAGTGGTTCCACCGCCTGCCTCACAAGCACGAGGACCCAAGTTCAATTCCCGGTACCTGAGCAACATAGTGAGATCCATGTCTTCAAAAACAAGAGCCAGGCTGGGCATGGTGGCACACATCTGTAATCCCAGTACTTGGGAGGCTAAGGCAGGAGGATTGCCATTACTCTGAGGATTGCCAGCCTGGGCTACATAGTGAATTCAAGGCCAGACTGAACTACATAGTGAGACCTTGTCTCGAAACAAACAAACAAACAAACAAGCAAACAAAAAACCAAGAGCCAGGCATGTGGAACATGCCTGTAATCTTAATTACGCAGAAGGCTGAGACAGGAGGATCACAAGTTCAAGACCAGCCTGGGAAACTTAGCAAGGCCCTATCTCAAAATATAGAAAGGAGTAGGATATACTTCAGTGTTAGACTAGGTGCCTAGGGTGTGCAAAAGTCCTGAGTTAAATTCGTAGTACCACAAAAAGGGAGGAGGCGGAGGAGAAGAAGGAGGAGGGGGGGAGGAAGGGGGGATGGGAGGAGGAGGATCATATCCCACAACCTGGGATTAGAAATAGATTCTTGGTCTTTGGACCCAATGGACCAAATTCTTGGGGGAATGCACATATATGTTCATTTTAGTGGATGCTCCAGGAGAATTATCTGATCTGGAAAGTTTTGAATTTTTGGTGGGTCTCAAGCCACTTAGAGTGACTGAGATGGCACCAGCCTTGGTCAGTGAAAATTGGCCCTGGAGTTTTAACTTCCAGAGTGGATATGCTTTCTAAGGAAATTATTGTGGAAAGCCAGTGCAATTAGAGGAGAGGCCATTTCAAGCTTTGATGAAGTAAGTATTGGTGTCTCTCTAAGACTTCATGGTCAAATGGTGTGTTAGTCAGCTTTCTAATGGTATAATAAAATGTTAAGAGGCTGGATGGGGTGGCGCACACCTGTAGTTGCAGCACTAGGGAGGCTGAGACAGGAGGATCGCTGGAGCTTGAGACCAGCCTGGGCTACATAGTGAGTTCCAGGCCAGCCTCAACTACATAGACCCTGTCTCAAAAAAAAGGAAGAAAGAAAAGAAAACAAGCTAAGAGGATTAACTTAGAAGAGGGATAGTTGGCTTATGTTTTTGGAGCCCGTGATAGATTTGCTCCATTGTTTTGGCCTTGTAGCGAGGCTGGAGCATGTGGCAGAGGAAAACTGTTTATCTCGTGGCTGGGGAACAAAGAGGGGGTGATGGAGTCCCACAGTCCCCTTCCAGGGCACACCACCTGATCGATGACCTAAACACCTCCCACAAGGGACCAGCTAAAGACTTCACCACGCTCCAGTTGCACACCCTAGGAAGCAAGTCGCTAACACACGAACCTTTGACAGACACCTCTGATACCAAGTATGAAGCTGAGGGTGGTGCCTGCCTGTAAGCCCAGCACTCTGGGAAGCTGAGACAGGAGAAACAAGTTCAAGCCCAGCCTGGGAAATTTAGCGACTTAGCCATAACCCTGTCTCAAAACAACAAACAAAAAACTAGCGATGGGCAAGTACCAAAGAGGAGGCAGCCAGAGTGGGGCAGCTGGGATCAAAGGCCCTGCAACAGTGGGCAAGCACACAGTATTCACAAGGGAGGCGGTGTGGGACCTGGTGAAAGGACTGATTCAGGCCATTTTGTTTCTCTAAGTGGGGACCCAAGGGTGTGTGACTCCCTTGGGTGAAGGATTTTGGGTCTTAGACCTCTCACCTGACCCATAGCACTGGTAGTGCCTACCTTACAGGATAGCGGAGTCACAGAGACCGAGGATTGGCAATTAGGGATGTGTAAAAGAAAACTTCCTCACCCTCTAGCTAGTCAGCAAATAAAAGGGATGCTCCATGAAGTGGGGAACCATTCCCTCCTCCTTTAGTCCCAGAAGTGTCTGAAGAAGGCGAAGTACCTGGGGACATCAGATCCAGCACTAGGTACTGAGGCCGGGTCTCAGGGGCAGTGACAGAAATCTTTGCGGCTGGTCAGGGAACTCTCCAAGGTGCTAGATATGTCTGCTATAGTTGCCACTAGTGAGGGGAGTAGGCAGGCTGAGTGCTCTGATAAATTAATCCGTTCATTTTTCTTCAAACCAGCCTTACTAGACCTGTGCTAGGTGTTGCAGTCATGGAGAGAGTTCAAATCCAATTTTGGGGAGGCTCCTAGTCTGGTGACAGAGACCAGCCAAGCAAGACTGGCTAGAGTCTGGAAGGGGTCTTGACCAAACAGGCAAGACTTCCTGGTCTGTGAACTCTTATTAGAAGGACAAGGGGCTGTTAGCCAGGTGAAGAATGGGGTTCCAAGTTCCAAAGTGGAGGGCCAGCTGGAAGGCACGGAGCGCTAGAGCTCCGGAGAAATGAAAGGCCAGTCTGGTCCAGAGCTGAGGGAGTGGGGAGGAGGTTTGGGAATGGGATTCTTCTCTATTTCACGTGCTAAATATCTCTCAGGGATTCTCACACCACCCCCTTCCTGTCTTTGCCACCTTTTTCTCCTCTCCACCATAGCTGTGTCAGTATTTTCACCTCTGACCTAAACTATGGCATGAGCCCTTCCCTGAGTCACAAGGCCACTGTCTCTGCCAGTGTCTTCCATCACTAGAAATGATCACTAGAAATGACCGGCTTTTTACTTGGAAAGGTCTCCCCGATTCTTCAGCCACCTATAGGGCAGTGCTGGAGCTCCTTTGGCTTAGCGTTTAAGGCCTCTTGGCCTCTCTCAAGAAGCGCCCTATCTCACTGCTCCTGCGTCCTCCTTCTCCCACAGCTCCAGGCCTGGGTGTGTTTCCACCCGTGATTCTGCACATCTTCTCTTCCCGGTGTCTACGGTCCCTCATGTTGTGGACGTGCATGATGGGTTGCTCAGTTCTCTGTTATCTTCTCTGTCCTTCCCTCCCTAACCCCACCAAGGCCACCACTCTGTACCTACCCCTCCCTGTTTTGTCGTTTATAATAACTCGTATCCCGTATAATAACTTGTATTTATGTCTTCCCCTTTAAATATGTGTTTCTTGAGGGCAGAGCAGGCTCATGTGGAGTTCATCTCTGCGATCCTCCTGCCCAGCAGAGACTGGCACACAGTGGCATCAGTAACCATCTTTGAAGGAATGAACAGAGTCAGAAGGTCTCTCTTGTGTTCTTGAAGGAGAGACGCTTGGACCAGCACTGGCAGAAAACACAGGACTCACAGAGCTTAACATGAGCTGGAATCATCTCCGAGGCCCAGGAGCTGTGGTGTTTGCCAGGGGGTTGGAGGTATAAGACCCCTACCGACTCGGCCCCTGGGGCAGGTCTCCTGGGTGCCAGCTCCTTGTCCTTTGTCACTCTTCAGAAATGAACCTTGGATCTTTTAAGCAGAGATTAAAGGATATTTTTCAGGTTACTTTTATTTTCTTAGCCTCATGTAATAACTAGGTCCTCTAGGTCCACCCTCGTGTCATTTACTGAAGATCCACAGCTAAATGTCATGCACCTTTTTTCAGACATTGCAGACACTCATCTGGCAGAGACAGCTATGCTTCTGGTGTGCCTACAGTTGACACGCATACCTGCTCTCCTGAGATGACAGCCTTGCACCCCTGTCTGCTAGCACACCTTCTCAAACATTCCACCCGCTCTCTTTCATGTTATGGATCATAATTTAAGGAGTGGGCAACTCAGGGCCTTCAATGTCCCCAGGGCGAACTGACTTTGTGTGGTCCCTCTCAGGGAAAAACAGCCCCTGCCTCAGCCACTTGAACAAGGACTGGCTTGCGGGCCCTGCCTCACGGGGTGGCAGTCGGGTTCAGTTTTGTCCGAGCATGCACCTTTCTCCCCATCACGGTCCCTGAGAGAGGTCGCATCCAGCAGTGTTCTTTGAACCCTGAGCCCCTAACCCTTGAAACACCCCCACACAGCTGAGGATCTGATCACTGTGTCTGTGGCCTGCAGCTGCCTCATTTCTGAGATGATTCACACCCATCCACCTTCCTCTGTTGGACTCTGTTGGGCTCCTGGCTTTCTCCACCATCAGATGCGGTCCCATGGCTTCATTCTTTTGCTCTAGGCGAACATCTTCCTGAAAGTCCTGGACATCTCTTACAATGGCTTTGGAGACCTGGGAGCCTTGGCTGTGGCTGAGGCCCTGAAGGCCAACAATGTGTTGGAGGAACTCAACATGAGGTGAGAAGCACAGGGTTGCCCTGCCCAGAGACAAGGGTACCATGATCTCACTGCTGTTCCATTTGAACCTACCACAGTCTCCCCAGATGGGGCTTTAGCCACACATCCAGAGCACCCAGCTCCATCCTTCTCACATAAAATGATCACTTATAGCCAGGCATGGTGGTTCACACATCATCCCAGCACGCTGGAGGTGAGACCCTATCTCAAAATTTAAAAATGGGCTGGGGATGTAACTCAGTGCAGAGGTCCTGGGTTCAATCCCTGGTACCAAGGGCAAAAAAATCATCACTTTTATGTTGAGATTGATCATTCCTATGGTGCACGTAGGTGGCGGGGGATCATGGACATGTGTGTAAAGCATCTTCAGAGGGCCTGGTACAGGATGGGTGCCCCATCTCAGAGCAGCCTGGTCTGGATGGGACAAGGAAGGGTCTGATGGGTGGGCCCATGGGTCTGCTTTCGTTGGCACATGGCTGCTGGGAGCCTGCTCTGTGTTTGGTGCTTCTCCAGGCCCTGCAGGGTCTTGCACCTTAGTAGGTACTAGGGCAGGGGCAAACACAGTGAAAAGAAAAGAGGTAGGGGCCAGGAAGATAATGGACTGCTGGGCTGAGCCCTCCCCAGGGGCTGCCTCTGTAGGCTGGGAGACCCCATTCAGTCCGGCCCACCTTTCCTCCTCATGGGAAGAGCCAAGGCTAGAGGCCGCCTTAAGACATGACGAGGTAGGTGTGAGAAGTCAGAGAGGAGTGGGACAGACTCTGGAGGCAAAATGACCCACAGCTGAGACCTGGGGTTTGGGTCCAGCACAAGGAGGAGGAGGAGGAGGAGGAGGAAAGGATGTAGACAGGAAGCTGGGCGGTTTTTCTAGAACAGATGTTCTAGAACATCTTCCCTTGCAAGTCATGGTGATAGGCCTGAGGTGCCACCTGGGCAGAACATGTGAGAGCACCTGCTGAGTTTTAAAGGGCCAAGGAGTAGCACCTGGGCCTTACCAGGGTGGCGCATACTCTAGGTGTGTTCACTGGGTGATCTCCTGTATCTTTTACACAAGGGCATGAGCAGAAAGATGGCATGTGAAACTTAACTTGTAGGATGGAACAGCAGCTCCGGCAAGAGCCTTGGAGCAAACAGCCCTGAACCAATGGTTGGAAGGCTGCAAGATACATATGTCTTTTTAAAATTAATATAAATTAATTGTACACATTAGTGGGGTTTAGTGTGATATCTTCTTCACAGAGCATGCACCAATCAGATTCAACTTTTTCCTATCCTCCCTCTCCCCGTACCCTTTCCAGTCTCTAGTAATCATTATTCTAGTTTTAGTTTTATTGTTGTTGTTCTTTTTAGTTCTCATTTTCACATATGAGAGAGAATGCAGGGGTTTTTTTTTTGTTTTTTTTTTTTTGCAGGGGGTATTGGGTCAGGATTGAGCACAGGGCTTTTACGTGTTCGGCAAGCCCTCTACCACTGAGCTACACCCCAGCCCCAAAATATGCCTGTCTTGTCTTTCTGTGCTTGGCTTATTTCACTTAACACAGTGTCCTCCATGTGAACGGTAGGATTTTATCCTTCTTCGTGGCTGGATACAGCTCTAGTGTGTATGGATACCACATTTTCATCTGTTGCTGGACACCTAGATTGATTCTGTACCTCAGCGTGTCTTTTATATTGCAGCAACAACCGCATCTCCGCAGCGGGGGCGCTGAGCCTGGGACTGGGCCTCCGGGTCAACCGGACTCTGAGGATTCTTGTTGTGAGTACTGACCTGGCCGGGGAAGGTCCCAGCTCGACTGCCCTCTGCCTCTCTACACCCGAGGGGTGGTGGATGGGAAGCTGTGCGCAGGCCCCACAGCCCTGATAGTCTTGGGAAGGGGAAGGGGCTTCCCGGCTCCCTCTCGTGACCCCTTCCTCCGCTTGCCCTTCACGCTGCCTTGCCCATGGCCAGCTCCAGACTGCTCTCTCCACCCTCCTCCTGGTAGCTGCCCCGCAGCTCCCTGCTGCCCTTCCTTCTCCTGTGAGGGTGATGCTCGGCCAAACGGCCCGAGCACCTCTGGCATTGCCTTCGTCTTCTCCCCTGCGTTTTCCTCTGGCCTTGCTGGAACTCAGGGTCAGCCCAGGCGTAGCGGACGGCCACTCCCCAGGCCCACTGAGGCCCGTGTACCAGCACTAATTCCCTTCCTCAGGGTTGTGGCGGGGAGGGAGCCAGGAACAGGGCTGAGGGCAGGAGACCGAGGAGGGAGGAAGCCAGGCAAGGGTGCAGGAGGGGCTGGAGGACTGCGGCGCTAACAACAGGTGCCGGCGGGTGGGGTGGGCCCCGGCCTCCCCAGTGCGGGAACCCAGACTTCTCTCAAGCCTGGAGTCACGTTTTCAGCCATCTGCTGGATGGTCCCCAAAGACGAACTGGGAAGTCCAACTGAAATGCACCACCTCCTTTAAAACTTTTTCTTATTTTCGTTTAATTTTTAAATATTTCTTTATTTATACATCACCTCCTTCGGAGGGCTGCCTCTTGGTGGCGAGAACCAAGCCAGAAGCCTAACCGTCTTTCCCTTCCCCATGGCTTCCTTCCGAGCTCTCCCACCTCCTACCACCTCCTACCGAGGGCTTAGGCTGCTGACTTCTTTTCCTCACTGCCCCTCATCCGGGATCTGTTGACTTCCTGGTTTCCCCAGCCCGTCCTTCCTTCCCACTTGTACCTAATGGTCTTTCTAAAGTGGAAATGTGCCCCTGGCGTTCCTGCTTCAAACCTGTCTCTTCGGATGAAACAAAGCTTCATGGTTCGTTGTGCATAGCACAGAAGGGGGGATGTGGGCTCTGCCAACCCCTCCTCTCCCAAGCTCATCGCTCTCACCCCAGGGCACTCAAGTTTCCAGGAATTCACAAACACACACACACTCACACTCGATTTACGATTTCCCACCTGTGAAAATGGCCAACTCTGCCATCCTCAGCACAAAGCTTAGCTCAGGGGTTTTACTCTCCAACCTTTCCTCCCTGCTGGGGTTGGTGCACACTTTCACTGAATTTATTACGCTGAGTTTGCGTTTGGTGTTTCCTTCTCTTCCCCTCCCTCTAGTGGTTAAATTCTTTAGGGCTAGGTATGTTTTGCGTCTGTATCTGGTACCTAGCCCTGGGTCAGGCTTAGGCCGGGTGCCCAGGCGGTACCCACTCCCGTCCTCTCTTCCCCAACCCAGTAGCCCTAGGATCTTCTGTCCTGTGAAGAAACTTGCTCAGCTGAGGTGGTGAGGCTGACCTAGTCACGTCATCGGAGAGGAGGCTCTTGTTGGCTTCTCTCAGTTTCTCTGTGTGTGTGATTCTTAGGTGTCCAGGAATCCCATGCAAAGTGAAGGCTGCTTTGGTCTCCTCAAGTCCGTCCGGGACAATCCAGCATCTGCCTTAGAACTACTGGATCTCTCTGTAAGAGCTTTGCATACGCCTTATCTCGGATCGTCCAACAGCTCTGTGAGCTACTGTCATCTCCGCTTGAGAGACAGAAAGTGGGGATTAGAGGAGTAAAGTGCCCTGCCCAGTTACACCACAAGGCAGGGCCACTGTTCCGCCCCAGGCCTGAATGTAGGGCACGAGGCTGCTTCCACTCTAGGCTGGTGGCTTCATCGTGGTCTCTCTCGCCTGTGAATACTTACGGTTCAAATAAAACCCTTCGTAGGGTTCAGCCTGGTCTATGTGAGATGGGTCTGACGGACGCCTTCCAGGGGCGTTGTGAACACAGGACGAGAGCCGGGTGTGGTGGTGCACACCTCTGGTCCCACTTACTCGGGTAGCACAGGCAAAAGCGTTGAGTCCAGGAATTCAAGGCCAGCATGGGCAACACGGTGAGATCTCCATCTCAAACAAAAACACTTAAATTACTTGAAACACAGAATGAGATGTTAGAAAGGGCTTTCAGAGAAAGAGCCAATCAGTGCCATCTCTCTTCTCCCCGACCCCTTTGTTTTAATGTTTTTATTAATTTAATTACTATGCTAAAAAGTACACATAGATGAAGGCTTGATTGCAAATAGCATATATATACCTATATAATGAGCCCCCAAATCAAGAAATAGAGCATCCCCTAAAAGCTCCCCTTTTACTCCCATTTTTATCTCAGTTCTAATAGATTGTCACACCCAGGAAGCAAATTTGAGCTTGTGTGTGCACAAGGAAAAATAATCAACTTCTTGGAGGAAAGTTTTCATACACTGCCTTGTAATGGGTTTTTCCCTAGGCTATCGAGGTAAACAGAGCGTTTGACGACCTTGCTAGCTCAGTGAAGGCGATTCTTCCAGGGCTGTGCATAAAGAAGGGTGCTCAGAGAGTCGGGTAGAGAGGAGTGGCTGCCGGCCTTCAAACAGTACCCGTCCACGTCTGCCCCTAGATGACTCGGACTGTGGCTTCCTCACCTCCTCCAGCGAGTTGCAGCTGCCACGCAGGGCCGTCCAACTCATGGCACGGGTGTCTTCCTCTCTGCCTCCCAGCTCATGCAATGATCTAGACCTTACCGTGCCTCCACTTACTCACATAATACAAACCCTGAGCTGGATGAGCTGGATGCAGGGGCAGAGATGTCTCCCCGCTTCTGAGGTTCATGGTCTGGTGATCTTCACAGACGAAATATAAGGCGTTGTACACCTGGCAGTCGCAGACTCTTTCTGCAGCGATGAAAACTGTCACAACTTTCTCTGGAAGGCAATTTTTCATTATGCACTGAGCCTTAAAACTATCTGTGCCCTTTGATCTAATCCTCTGATGAATCTGCTCTACAGAAATAAGCAGAGATTCATGGAAAGATGGATGCCTGAAAATGTGCCCTGAAATGCTGTTTCTGACAGTGACAAGTGGAAGTAATTTAAATGTTCAAACACTAAAGCTTCAGGGGGCAGGGATTTAGCTCAGTGGCACCACACCTGCCTCATAAGCGCAAGGTCCTGAGTTTGATCCCTGTACCAAAAAACCAAAAAAACTAAGGCTTTGAATTCTGCCAGTAGTTTTTGTTTATCTGTTTGTTTTGTTTTGTTCAGAGATAGGGCATTGCTATGTAGTTCATGCAGGCCTTGCACTCACTATATAGCACAGGATGACCTCAAATTTGAGTGATCCTCCTGGCTCAGCCTCCCAAGTGCTGGGATTATAGGTGTGCACCACTGTGCCTTGTCTGAATTCCTTTCCCCGGCCCCCGCCCGGTATCAAGGATCGAATTCAGGACCTTGTGCTTGCCAGGCAGGCACAGCACCACTGAGCTGCAACCCTTGCCCCAGTGTGAATTCTGCCAGTATTAAAAGTCACATACTTAAAGAACGTTGAACAATTCATGAAAATACACATGAATAATGTTAAGCAAGAATATTTAAGATAAAAATACCATGTGGTTTGTCTAGTACCATTTCAAAAAGTTAATCACAGATTTACCATATTACCCAGTAATTTCACCCCTAGGTTTGCAGTAAAGAGAAATGAAACCATATATCCACCTTAAAACATGTGCACAAGTGTCCATAGCAGCATTACTCATAATAGCCGAAAAGTAGATGCTCCCCAGTGGATAAATACACTGTGGTATATCCAAACAATGGAATGTTACTCAACAATAAAAGGGATGAAATATAGGGCAATAAAATGTCCTAAAATTGATTATGGTGATGGTTGTACAACTATTAATATATCAAAAATAACTGACTTTTATATAGAACTGTAAATGAGAGAATTTTAAGGTATATAAATTATATCCTAATAATGCCAAGTTTTTCATTTTTTGTTAAAAAAATTTTTTTTGTGACAGAGTCTCAGTCTGTAATTCAGGCTGGCCTTGAACTTATGGCAATCTCCTGCCTCAGCCTCCCAAGTGCTGGGATTACAGGCGCGTGTCACCACACCTGACATTGTTGTTTCTTAAAAGGAAAAGAACTGGTATATGCATCAAATGTGAAAACACACTACATGATGCTGAGCATGGTAGTACATGTCTGTAGTCCCAGGGTTGGGGAGGCTGAGGCAGGAGGATTGCTGCAAGTTCCAGTTCCAGGCCAACCTGGACTACATAGTGTGTTCAAGATTAGCCTGAACTACATGAGAAGACCTTGTCTCCAAAACCGAGAGAGAGAGAGAGAGAGAGAGAGAGAGAGAGAATATGTTATATGACTAGAAGCAGTACAAGGCTGCATATTTTATGGTTTTGTTTATACAAAATATCCAGAATAGGCAAATCTAGAGGGGCAGAAAGATTATAAGTGGCCTAGTGATCAATTAGGGGTTGGCAGCCAATGATATAGGTTTCTTTTGGAGATAACAAAACTGTTGTAAAATTGATTATGGTGATGTGCAACTCAGTGGATATGCTTAACCAAGCCTGGTGCCACGACGCATCCCTATTTAGGAGGTACAGGCAAAGGACCACCTGAGCCCAGGAGTTGTGGACCAGCCTGGGCAACATGACAAGAACCCAACTCAGCCAAAACAAAAACAAAATTAAGACTTCCATTTTCCTGAATTTTCACAAGCTAAAGCTTGACAAATTGACAAACCTTAGAGAAATCCCAACAGGTCATACATGGACATACTTAATATACAATATATATATATATATATATATATATGTATACATATCATAAACTTATTATATAAACCACTTGAAAAGTTTACCAGAAAATCCAGTGACATCACCAGAAGCATTCAATGTACAAACTAGGGAATTTATCAACATTGTCACACACACCCGCTTCAAAAATGCTTCAAATCTTGGGCCAGGGATTTAGCTTGGTGGCACCACACCTGCCTGGCAAGCAAAAGGTCCTGAGTTTGATCCCTGGTACAAAAAAAAAAAGCTTCAAGTCTGAACTGTCTCAACTGATGGTAATTTAGACTAAAATCTGGATTTACATTGGCTCTTGCCATTGATCTGTTTTTCTTTTATTTCCATTAAAATGCTTCTCATTAAATACTTGTTTTTTTCATACCACATGGAGGCTAAACTTAGATGGGAGTCCACCTGTAACATCACCTTCTATAATAAGAGTCAAGTACTTGCTGGGGATTTGGCTCAGTGATTCCACTGGCTGCCTCATAAGTGGAAGGGCCCGAGTTTGATCCCTGGTACAAAAAAAAAAGAATCAAGTACTTAGCTGGACTGAACTATTCTCATGACCAAAGGACTTCTTAAATGAGATAAGAGCCAACATTCTTACATTTGCTCTTCTGTGGAATTTTTTTTTTTTTTATGTTTTGAGGTAGAGTCTCACTGTGTAGTTCAGGCTGGCTCTGAACTCACTATGTAGCCCAGGCTGGCCTCAAACTCATGGTGATCCTCCTGCCTCAGCCTCCTGAGATTAAAGCATGAACCACTACACCAATCTGGAATTTTTAAAGTAACATTCTCAGACCACAGTTGACTAGAGATAACTTAAACCATGGAAAGTGAAACCATGAATAAATGGAGATTACTGCATAAGTAACAGACTCTGACTTCTTCAGCACTTCATTCTTTATGAGGGCTTCTGTGCCATGTAAAACTTGCATTACATAAACTTGTGTGCTTTGTCCCTGTTAATCCATCTGTTAATTCTCTGGTTCAGCCAGGACCCTGAGGACAGAAAAGTTTTGCACGCTTTATGGATAAAAACAGAATCCCCCACAGCCCAGCAGCATGATTGGGGGCGGTGGGGGGAGGCAGGCTCTGTGGGTCTGGGGGAGTGAAAGGAGGGCATCAGCCCCTTCTCCAGGAGCCTTGGAAACCCCGCCTGACCTTTCACTGAGGTGTGTGCGGTTAGTAGGTATTTGGTTGGTTTCCTGTAACGGCCACGTATGGGGTCTCCTGCGTCCCCCTCTGCCCCCCAAGAAAAGCCAAACTCCTTGGTCTGGCCACAGTCACTCCAGCCCCACCGACCCCCTCCAGCTTCACGGTCTTCACCATGGTCCATGTACCTCGCCGAACCTTCCAGCTCCCAGTCCTCTCCTGCTCTGCCCACTCCATCCAGCCCTCTCTGCCTCCTGGAAACATCTTGACAGTCTTCCTTCAGGAGCTCCCACTCAGAAGTCTCAGCTGGGCGTGGTGGCGCAGGCCTGTAATCCCAGCACTTGGGAGGCTGAGGCAGGAGGATCGCCGTGTGTTCGAAGCCAGCCTGGGCTACATAATGAGTTCAAGACCAGCCTCAACTAAACGGGAGACCCTGTCTCAAAAAAAAAAAAAAAAAAAAAAG